ACTGTACCATTGTGAGTAACTATGTCCGTTCTGTATTTGAGAAGCTTCTAGACTTATTCTGCCTGCTCCAGCGAAAGGAATTTCGCACCTATTGTGTCTTGTGTCTTTACGTGTTATGGGTCAATGAGGGTGTGTACGATTCCGTAGTTCAACTGGATAATTTCGTCTACTTCAGACAGAATAGATAACGGTGTAGAAAGAAGTTGGGGGGTGGTGAGATTACTTTCATTAATTCCAATTGGTGTGGCAAGTCTAAAGTACTTTTTAAGTATTCACAGAATGGCGTTGATTGCTTGACTGTCGTCTGTCACCCCGAATTCTCCCGCTTTCCTTATATCATCACCACTAATTTATACATTACACCCCAGTGTGGATTGTCAGACATTGACACATTTTAGGATAATTTCCTACCTGTTATTGCCCCATCTCTTGCTGACAGTTTGCACCGGATAGCAGGTGACTTTAACTACACTCCCTGCACCCTTTATTGTATCTAAACCTTAGTAACCTGATTAACAACCGGAGGAAACTCTCATCTAGACCATATAATTACAAACCACGCTGACACCTTTTCCACCAAACAGTTCTCCTTAGGCACGAGTGATCACAACCTGATGCTGGTCAGACTTATGAATTACACACATTCAGGATATTTTTCTTTTACTCGACCCAAACACCACGTTCTGTCAGCGAGGTCATTCCCCAGACAATGTGGCCTTGCTTAGGGAACCTCTTAAGGGGGTTACCGATTGTTTTCTTTTAAACACAACCTGCTTGTCCCATGTGACATTTCTAACAGAAGTGTTTAACTGTGTTTGCTTTGTGCTGTTCTATGATAACTCTGTTCCTTCAACATGGTAGAATATCAAAAACCTTTTCTTAAATGCCTTCCTGTGAAAAGGAACGTGTTTTAAATGTTGCAGGAGTGCCGAAATGCAACGGTTATCGTTTCTGATCAAAGGGGAAATAAGAGGGTTGGACGCCCTTTATGCAAGTACGTTTTTGGGACGAGGAACTGTAAATCTATGTGGCGTGGAATCAATCTACGCTGCAGGCAGAAGAAAGATTTCCAGTCCCTCCACTGATATTGAAAAACTGAATGCTGTAGTTATTCATTCTTCGCCCGATACACCACAGTTATGTTGATTCTACTTCTCCGAACATACAACCTTCGTTTGATACCATCACCTCTAGTGAGATGTATGAACACGTGTTCTCACAAGAAGTCGACCGCACCTGGCCTAGACAACTTAAGTTCCACCCTTCTTAAAACATGGTGCTCTGCCAGTGTCCCACACTTTTGCAAACACACAGTTAATCTTTCACTCGAACTCCTAACTATTCCGGACTGACGGCGCCCAGTGAGAATTACTCCCATCCCCAAAGGAAAGTGAAAGGCCCTAATAGCAAAGCGTTTCATACCAATTGCTTTCACTTTCACTGATTTGAAATTGATATAGCCATCAGTAACTCATCGTCTTCAGTTGTCCCTTACCACCCCCGATGGCACTTATCAGTTTGCTTACAAACATAACCGCTCTACATTAGATGCCATTTTTTCTCTAGCTCATTTCGTCTGTAAGTATCTTAACGAGAAAGCCAAATGTGTGCATGGTGCATTTCTGGACTATTCTTCCGCTTTCGGCTCCGTGTCCCATTTCTCTTTTAATCAACAAGCTCCAATCTTTTGGCTATCCCGCTTCTCTTCTCGAATGGCTTACTGATTACTTTCGCAAAAGATATCAGTAGGTTAAATTGGGAAGAAGACAGTCAACCGCATCCCTCAATAGTTCAGTTGTACTTCAATGTACTGTCCTATTACCCTATCTTTATCTTACTTATAGCACTGACTTACCTGTTACTCCTCCTGTTCGACATTTTAAGTATGCTGATGATATCACCATTTCTGTTTCCATATCTAACCAATCGGAACTGGTTGAATATAATACAAACCTATCCCACCTAGTTTCACATTCCACTTCTTCCGGTCTTAATCTTAATCCTGAACAATGCCTTGAATGTATTTTTACTCTAAACCGTACGCCCTCTCCCTCTGAAAAGATACAGATTCATGGAAAACCAATAAGCAGGGTCAGCCATATGAAGTACTTAGGTGTCAAACTTGAAATTAACCCTCGCTGGTTCTTACATAGCCAAAAGGTTGCTCGCAAGTTGAAAAGTCTCTGTTTTTAGATAAGAACACTGCGCCAATTTTGTTCTGACACGTCGCTTGATTTCAAGTTGCTGAGACTTGAGACGTCTTTCAGTCTGACGTAACTAACTTTGATTCAAAATTAAGTTTTCAGTCAAGTCTTGTGAAACTACTGTGAGATAGCAAAGAAAGGAGTATTTTAAATTCTAATGCAATGAATAACCAAGTTAATTTGATCGACAGTTTGTTCTGAAGAAAGGCAACTAACTTGGAATTTCCAGTAGGAATGCATAATCCGCACTTTTCAATATCCTTTTTTTATATAAAACATACCCAGGCGCATTATCTCATAAAAGACCGGAACAACTAACTAGTGCATTTAGAAACTTCCCGTTGGCTTTATTCTGTTTTGAGTGGATAGGATTCAGTAATTAAGGTAATTGCCTAACTGTTCAGTCCATATATATATTTCTGTCCAGTTAATCGTTTAGTTTGCACCATGCAATTTGGTTTCGTCCAAAGCGTGTCGTGTACAAATGGTGGAGAGATTTCAGACAAATGTAAACGTTGATTGCCCTATCCAATGCATTTAACTACCAACGCTTTAGCCATGGTTTAAAATAGTGTCAGATCTGACTGAATGTCAGAAATGAACGGTATGGAAAATGCACTGAAAGAATCCAAAACGAGTATATACGACGTTTTGTCTTCTTATACTCTAAGTGGAAAAATCGGACACCAACGATCTTCTGGGTCGACTGTGAGGCACATCACATCGGCGTTTGAAGTTGGCGGAATAAAGAAAATCAGTTCCTGCACGAAACTAGTAGAATATTAAGTGAAATTAAGCAAACGACTTTTAATTTTATTCCAGGCGGTGTATAAAATGTAACGGTGTAGAATTTTGCCGAGACTGAGGTAAGTGATTGACAAGTAAATAAATGCTCCAGGTGAGGGACAAAAATGCAACGAACGGGAGCTCTGAAACTTAAAATAATAACGGGTTTTCTATCAAGAGGACTAGTCGTCTACTCTCCTATGATATCATTATTTATCAATGTTTTCAGTCACATGACCAAAATACGTTTTAAGATTTATAATGGTGAGATGCAGCAAAATCTCCCTGGAGGTAAATCGTGCATTATTATGGAGATAATGTTTTCTCTCGTGAGTCTGATTTCTTGATCGACTCGCTTCACCGTTTAATTATGTTGCGCAAACAACAGATATCACGAGATAGGATTTTTTGTGCATTGTGTGAACTGTGAGCCACCAGATTGAAAACAATATAAGTTGATTCAGAACATGAACCATGATTTTCATAACCCCATAAGCTGATACGTTAGAGGAGTGGCACAAACGAGCATCGAGCAGATGGTCGAGGCAAATCAGCATAACTGATTCCAGGTCTTATGGGATCAATGAAACGCAGTTAAAGACCGGTATGGTGGTTTTCAATTTGCACATTGAAAAATGTTCCGTAAATATTGATTGGTTTTCAGCAGACAATATGCGTTACGACATAATGACCTCGTGAAAATAATTACCGTTTTTGCGCGTCAAACAACTAACTGGAATCTGAGGCTTCGTTTCCTGAAATGGGATGATATGGTGCGTACTATTTAACGACAGGAAATAGCTTCTGCAGGTGTAAACTAGTGCTGTTCAGAGTCTGAAATGGTAATTTGAACAATAATGTGATAACAGCGATTTTATTCTCATCGCATTATAATCCCATTTAGTGGCTGCGATATTCGTCGGCAAACGGCATGAGTTCATTTTATGCGTTGATGACCAATTATTTCGTCGATCGATTAAAACTCTGGTTAGTTATTGTCACTCATTTGTGCGGCGAATAAATATTTCTGTATATTCGCTACAATGTCCGTGTAGATAAGACCTTCTGTTACCTTATTGTGAGTAACTTTCGCGTTTAGTGATCTACTTGGTCCACAGATTCAGCGTTATTGAGGTTTTGACACATTTGGATAATTAATAATGCACCTGTAATTCTAGATTATTGCTTAAAAGATAAACAATGACAAGTTGTCCTTATTTAACAAGAGCCTAGAGACATTGCTGTTAACACGCATCTGCGCTTAGTACTACTGGATGTTTTTCAACTGTAGCGGACAAAATGTCGGTAATAACCTCAGCTGCAGTAACTCATTTGCAGTTATTTCGCTTGAAAGGGATTCTTTTTTCAGTTTCGTGTAACGGGGTTGAGACCGGAATCACCGACGACGTCTGTTTGCTTACTTCGTGTGTCTGCGTTCCATTAACTCAATTGAATTCCTTGGTGAGACATATCTAATGAAAGATAAACGTGTGGATTAAAATCACTTATTAGCTAGTCTTATCAAGAACTCCACGCGAGAACTGAACGCAAACGGAGTGCGACATAAAAACTCTCATTGGCATCAAACTGTAGGATATGCAAACAAAACCACCATTGATACAAAATATAGCTTTATCCGAACAGAGGATTCTAGTTATCAGTCAGATAAATCAATATTATCATATTGTAATATGAATGTGTCCCTGTGGTAACGAATATTGACACCTTTACATGATGGAACGAATTCTCACTAAACTCAGTCCAGTAAGTACAAATCTTAGGAGTCGAGGATGTTGCCTATATGATTTTATGTATGACCCGAATTTCACAAAAACGGATTTTATGGGGCAACAAATGTGTATTCATTGTACATAAGTGTTCTATTACAAAACGCACAACATAATAAACCCTACGGAAGTGATCCACGTGAAATTCAATTTTATAATGATGAAAACGGAAGTCACATTGAACAAACGTACTGAACGACGGAGGCAATCTGATTTCCAATCACTAGACGCGATGACCGTTTGTCGACGACAAAACCCTAACAACACAGCCGGAATCGTTTTGTATTTCCATCGGCCTTACTTCTGTTGTCGTTCCGGTTGACTTTGAATTGTCAATTACTTTGGCACTTCGGTCAGGTGTTCTTTGGCTGTATGAAGACATTTTACGCTTGAAAAAGTTACGCAATCTGTCAATGAAAAACACATGACAAAACTCTTGTCGAAACTGCTGAGACATGGAAGTATAAATCACAAAATTTGTTGATTCATTCACCAACGTCGTGAAGTCAATAAAATCACCCAGATGTTGATAAACATTTACGTAGAAATTTTCAATTAATTGCAAACAAATAACAAGGATTCCTTGGGGTAATTCCACAATAAGCACAGTAATTAGAATTGCCAATAACAAGGTGGTTGTTCGATTTTCTGAATGCTGCTGTTGCTGTGATCTGTCATCTTTGCAATTGCTTTTTAAAAGTTGTTTCACTTGTTTCCTGGCGGACGTCTGTTGCAATGCTTTTCTGCGTCGAATAGCGCGTTTCATTTGACAGATAAGCAGGAATGTTAGGATCGACAGAAGGCAACACGGGACAATTTTAAATACACTTGCTTGCAACCATGTATTAATTGCGTATAATTCTTTCTTCCGCCATACAGCATCCTTCGAAGTACCATTCTCTTCAAGAGCCTCATATCCCACAGAAAAATAAACATCGTAGTTGTTCGTGTAATTTCTGTTAGTCGAAGACTGATCTGTTATCCACTGCGTCCCGTAGCACTGATCAACATAATTAATCATTGTGTTTGGTATGACAAATACAACGCACGCGAAGGCTAAAAAAATCACGGAGAGAAGCGCTCTCCGTTTGGTGGCCAGTCTTGGTCCGACAGTTGGAAATCCGATATATAAATAACGAAACACGGCCAAAACCACGGCTATCCACATGGCTAATGAATGAAATATGATTAGTCCACTGGCTGCGGCAGTTTGATATATCACCCAAGATTTGTAAGGACTGTACATGGGACTGCGAATGGGATTGGGACGGACAATGTAAAAATGATATAAGGACGGAACGTAGATAAGCATTGTGATCAAGTCAGCCACAGCGAGCCAGAAGAGCAAGTGATTTGTAGCAGACTGGGACATTGAAGTTCTGGTTAGAACGAGAATATTGGCCAAGTTTGTTGGTATGCCGAAGAAGCACAGCGCCAGACTGAGTGGCCCATGCAATTCGCCGAAACGTTGACCAAACTGAACTAGAACAGTAGGTTTTCCTGCTGAAGTTCCATTTTCGGCATCTAACTGTGCAATTTGCATGAATGGACAAGGCCGTATAACCTCAGTCCAATTGTTAGAATTGGCCATGTCCATTCGAATAAGATCTGAGAAAAAGGATCGGTTGCTATAGGCACATGGGTTTGTAACTGGGAGAGGAGAAACAATACTATTCTGAATTATTTTCTTACGCACGTGAATATATAGGCGACTAACAGGCGAGACTATTGGCAAGCCGAACTGCAAATTGCTTCTCATTTAATACCTGGCAGCTGATTGGTCAAAATTCTACCCAATGGAATAACATTCGGTGCCGTTGGGGAAAACATAGATTATCATTGATTTTGTTGCAGAAAAAAACTAATTCTTTCCGAAAGAGAGAATCCAAAGTTGTTTTTGGATGACAGATTAAAAATGAATTTAGATTACCTTGCATACGTGGGTCATGTGCCCAAATGACCGAAATTGCTACGTGGTTCAATCATGTCTGAATAATTGCAGAATGGCCAATACACCAGACTTCCACGAACATGTGATTGAAAATGTCTACCATAAGAACCAATTGGTTAAATAATTTATGGAATCCTTTCGAAAAGACGATTTCATGAAAATGTTTCCTTACAAATCAGACGGATAGTTCCGAGGTAGGAATTTTTCAGCTGTTTTTTTTGTGGAACTAATTTTAATTGCAGTCAAGCATTGCGATAACCCGGAATTCTACTTTCTAGTTACATGGTGACAGTTTACGCAATTTGGATTTCACAAGGATTATTATTTATTCTAGGATTATTGAGTTGCCAATTGTTTCTTGGGTTTTTTAACGTTCGGATCTGTGGGCAAACATTATTAACGTTCTTTTGAGGTGTTGAATGTACAATAGAAGAATTATCATTTGAAAAACCTTATTCTAGAAAGGTGTATCACTTGACTGAATGACTGTACTAGAATTGTCGGAGGGGCAGAGAAAAAGAGGTCAGACGAAGCAGTCCCACGCGTCAGATAGACCGCTGCCAAGAATGATTAGATTACGATTATCATTGCTGTATGGTGTGTGGTTTCAATATGTTCAGTTTTCCTTGGAGCAAAGAAATACAGAACAAGCCGGGCTAATAAAAACCATTTTGAGTTCTTTGAAAACATTTCATTCACTTTTACATTGCATATACTTGATTGCAGCAGATGACAACTGCTGGTGGCTTCTTTTCGTTTCCAGTCTCGGATAACCGGGAACGTTGGAAATTTTAACAAGAAAAGAGGGGAGTATAAGTTTCATCAATGCGTCTGAAACGAAACACGTGAATCCAAGCTATTACTCATTCAATACACATATACACCCCATTGTCAACAGATATCTTTTTTCTGCTTTTGAGGATCGATCATCTTGAATAAGTACTGTAACTCAGCTACGGACTGATGGTAGTGTGTTCTGCGAGCTGAAAGTGTTGTTGTACTGATAATTTTGCTAACCTGGTTACGAAACCTCAGTGAACAATAGTTCAAGCTCGGCAAACACAACAAAGCGAATGTCGGCATCCCGAGCTACAGTCGTTGCGTATTATTCAATAAGGGAACCTTTTATGTCGTTTCTGATGCATTCATGAGAGCAGTGGCCGCATTGGGAACTTGGTTCCTTTGCAATGTTTGATGTCAGAGATTATCCTAAAGAGGGTAAAAGAATAGTAGACAGCTTTCATTGCTTTGTTCGCAAATGCCTACTGCACTACATTGTGAAATCAAACTTTAAAAATCACAATAGTTTATTGCAGTTTACAAATTCTAACATTTCGACGTTTCCTTTGAGCAACTGACAAATAAAAATGAAAAAGTCTAAGAAAATGTATTTGTGCATACATTAGGCGTGATCAAATATGTGTGCCACTACGGCAAACTGACAATTGTTTCTGTTATGGAGGGGCACTCATCGGGAATAGGCATTCCAACCGAATACTGAACTCATAGCAGCTCAACTCACCCTGAGCATGCGTCAAGGAAATCAAGTTCAACCAACAGTCGTGTTCCGACAAAGAAAACCGATTCACAGGTTGTGACCAGCATGAATATCTTCAACATATTATACTATCATACTCGCTACAACTCACGCCGAAGTTAGGAATAAAAATTTTAGACAGAAACAAAGTGAGCTTAAATGAATGAATAAACGTGTTAATTGCTCATGATAAGCGAATCAGAGTTGCGTCATAGGTTCGTGAATTATTGACTAATGCAAACCTTACAATCTCACTGAAATAATAAATCGTCTCATCGCGTTAATAATACAACGTGACATGTTTTGCATAGTTTGTCTGCTCATTTTTGGATAGTTTATTAAACTCTGCTCCCGAGACGAGAAAGGAGATTTAAATAAGGATTATTAGAACAGGTGCCGCTTAGCGCCGATATTCAACATAAAAAACCATAATCTCGTCCAGTAGACAAAACAAGGTGCGTTTCCTTTTAACCAGCCTGTACATTAACAATGCCATGTCCCATGTCGTGTAATATGGAGTTTTAGCAATAAATATACAAAATTTATAGACTCGTAGTAAACCTTCTCCCCTTAGTAACTTCTTCATTGAAACCGACAGTAATAAAGTTTAGGCTTCCTGTACACAGCCTTTGAATTGACCACTATGTGCACCGAACCATGCAGTATACGTAAGTAAACGGTTGCTGCCGTTGAGCGGAAGTCAATTATTCCGCGGTGCACAGCT